TGTATATATATATATATGCGACTGATTAACGTAGCAATACTCATCCATCACTTTTCTGCGCGAGAAATTGAGGGTGACATAAATATCTTAATTGGGAGATTTAAGAAATTTTTTTTTTATAGATATACATATATAATTTCGTACAGTTTTATCTGTCTACAATTAGAAAAAAGTTCCTCTCAATTTAGAAAAATTATTTATTTCAGCCTAAGTACTAAATAAAAGATATCAGTATTTGTTTAATTGACACATAATTTAAATTTCACTTAACATATTTTGTTAGATTTGTTTGAAATAAAGAAGTAATTGGTTGATAAATCACATTTATCAATCACTTGGATAATTACTACAAAATATATAATACACTAAAATAAAATATAACTTAGTTATACACACTTAAACTTTAGAATTAGATACACATTTATACATGTGTGGAGCATTTTTATATGAACATGTGAGTAGATAGAAAGCAAACTAAATTTCGACTATGGTTTGGTAGCAATCTAAGTTCTCTGCCACTTCTTAAGAGATTTGCAGTTGTGAACTCAAGAAACTCAAGAGACCATCAAAACACAAGAGAGGAAGCATTCTTTGACTTGTATTCCCTTGGATGAAGGGTGTACAATTTGTGATTGATTACAAATTGTAGTGTGAGACTATTTATAAATCGTTGGATGAAAGCTAGCTAAGCCACCCAACACAACTTCTCCTATTAAAGAATAGCTTGGACTTATATGGTGGACATGCATTCATTTGTGATTCGATGCATCCTATATAATTATCTATATATATTCTCAATTGATAAGAACTTGATGAGAGAAGAATACAAAAAGAAAATAATAAACTACCATAAAACGATTAGCTCATATGACTATAATGAACCGTAATTATTAGATTGTCAAGTTACCCTTAGGGTTCTCTTCAACTCTCCCTCAAAAACCAAAGATACTTCAATTAGTTGGTTGAGGAACTCCCAAGCAAGCAAACCTTAATAGAGCCTTTTGTAGCTTAATATGCTAGAGCATTGTAGAACATGTACACAAAATGAAGTGTTAGGATTTCAGCATTGTGGAGCCATCTTTTGATAGTTACGCACATTTGTCCAAAAACCACAAGTGAAAAATCTATGCTTTGAAAAGGACCCTTAAATGGATAAAACATTGATATCACCTTATAAATTTGTATTCTTTAACATGTCGATTGATGTTCAACTAGAACATGTAAAATGAGATTAAATAGAAAAATCTAAGTATTGTAAGCTCTTTAGTGAACTTTTTAAGGGTAAATAGTTTTTTATCCTTTTTTTAGAGAAATAATTTAAAAACTCTAAATGCCATTTACACTTGCCAAGATATTTACTATGTTAGAGGCTCATATATGTTTTATCTTTGCTAATAAAAGACTCCACTAAAAACCTAGTACAATTAGATTAGATAAGATTCAATCTTATAGGTTTATACTTGTGTTTAAAATGATTATTTACATTAGAGAAATAACATGAAGTTAATAAAATAAAAGCAAGGGAAAGAAAAGAATGTGTGAATACTATGCAAAAAGCCCTAAAAACACTTACTACCTTGGCAATACTTATCCAATTTAATATGCATAAAATAGAGGCTGCCCACACAACATTAACAAAAATGCTTTCGTAACTCTTTTAGAGACTCTTTGACTTTATATAACTAACAAAATTTAGGTAAGAATGATTTTGTTTAGTATGTAATGTGCTCCTTTTTATAAAAGTATATATAAAAATCACTTCTTCTATCTCGTATAAAAACCCAATGATTGATGCAAAGTCACAGGAAATTATAGTTAACTCCTTTATCAGTAGACAAAATAGGTGCAATTGGGAGCATCTTGTAGCTACATATATATGTTCAATTAAGAAAGAATTGCGAATGAGAGAAAATAATACATAAAAAAATAAATTTCTAAGATACGACAAGTCATGGGATCATAGTAAAACGAAATCACTAGAGGGTCAAATTACACTTAGAATCCTCTTTATCCCTGCTTTCAAAAACCAAAGATACTTGGCTTGGCTGCCTGAGAAATCCTAGGTAGGGGAACCTTAATAGAGCCTTTTGTAACTCCATTCTAAGAGCATATAGTCGTTATACATATATGCAAAAGGGAATATTATGATTTCAACATTGTGGGGCCATCTTTTTTACAGTTAAACACGTTCGTCTAAGAAATAACATGCAACAATCCATGTTATTAAGGAGGTTTATAGGTTTTTTCTTTAAGAACATAGTGATTAAATGTAAATAATTTTTGAAGAGCTTTGAGAAAGTCAACTTGATGTTTACTTTGAGGGAAGCTCATAGAAAATTATATAGGGGTGAAACTAATTGTTTGGTCTAGACCCAGTTGAACCAAACTAACTACGATTCGATTCTCGATCTCAGAAGTTCTTGGGTCTAAAGTGGATTAGATAGGATTCAGTCTGGTCTGAACCGAAATAATAAAAAGAATATAAAAAATGTAAATTGCATAAGTAGTTAACCTTATAACCTCTTCCATCTCCTTTTTTCATCTTTATTATTTTCAGCCTTTAGTTGACAATAATATCTTTAGCTTTTTTTTTTTTCCTTTTTCAAGCGGCAACACAATAACCTATTCTTTCAACTTAACTCTTTTACTCCAATGTCATACATGTATGCAACACTTTGGCAATTCCTATTTAGCATACTCTAGCTTATTTAACACTAGTAACGACACTACTCTAGGCTCTCGGCCTCTCTTACAAGCATGCAAGCAACACACGATTGTCTAAACCTATTTACTTTCTTCCTCCTCTTCGCCATGGAGCTAGTTGGTCGCACACACCTCTATTAGCATGTCGTGCAGTTGTTGTTTTCCTTTCCTCAATGTGCTTTAAGTCTTGGATGAATAAAATGTTCAATATTTTAATTATGAATTCTTGTTACGAATTATGGATGGATTAATTTATGTTTAAAATTAAATTATTCTTTTAGTTGTTAAATTTATCTATAAAATTTATAGTAATTAAGTTTTTTCTCTAACAATAAAATTGATCTACTAAAACTATTTAAAGATAAAAAAAAATCAATTCTTTTGTTTCTAAAATAGTTTGGTTCAGATCCTAAATGATTTTCGATTTTGGTTCAACCGCCAATTCAACTTGGTTTAGAATCTTTGTACACTCCTGATATCATATTTAGCAAGAAATAAACAATTCCCTCCTCTCTTGTCTCCTTATATCATATTTAACAAAAAATAAACGACTCCCTCCTCTCTCGAACCTAATGGAGTTATCACCACTCCATTGATGTCGTATTCAATGGAGGAGCTACAAAACTTGCTAATGATGAAGCGTTGGAATAGTTTCATTTAGCTTGTGTTTTATTAAATCTATTTGCACCACTATTTCCAAATAATATATATATATACGCACGCACACATGCATACATATAAATTAAATTTGAATTTAATTTACGTTAAGGCATAAAATTGTATCAAACAAAGCAAAAAAAAAAAAAGAAACATTAATAACCAAAGATAACTTTTTTCTTTAAATTGGGCAATTTTGTTTCATAAATGTCTATATTTCAATCATTGATTTAAATTACTAATCCGGAGACATTGTCAATTACATGATTTGCTTCACAGAAGATGTTTCAAAAAATAAATAATTTTCCTCTGTTACTATTTCTTCAAGATTTTTTTAAAAAAAAAAAAAAAAACTTAAAATTAATAATGTCGCATTCTACTTTTAAAATTTTATGCAAAAATGAGATTCAGGTGTACAGATGAAAAGATTATTGTGAAAAAGACATCCAAAATGAAAGTAAGAAATTAATGCAAAAGAATATTTGTTTATTCTCTTTTCCCCACCAACCGCAAGCACACAGATTAACCTTTAAATTTAGAGCTTAATTGCTTGGTAAATGAAAAAAGCAAGAGAAATTAAATAGTTATACAAACAAATTGTAGCTATACATCCTTTGGCACAAACCCTAGTTTCATCTATTCTCTCTTTAGCAATTCAAGTTCTGCTGAGTGTCAAAAGACAACCTATTTAGGTTGCCATGTTCGTGTATACATAAATGCAGATATATATATATATATATATATATATATATGAGTACATATGTGTGTGTGTGTGGTCGTATATTTGTTTTCTTCTTGCGCACCAATACTCCAACTTTTATCTTTTTATCATGAATAAGCATAATTGGGTAACACTCCAGGAGCTGGCCAATTAAAATCCACTATCAATTCCAAAGACCTAACAGACAAACCCCAAAGAGGAAGCAGGGCAGATATTACTGGGCCAGACTATGGTAGATTTTATGCCACCACACACTCACACCAGTCAAAGAAATAATATGTGACCAACCAAAATTACTACCTTTAATATAATTAAAGGTTCCAATTTTATAAAAAAGAGTGAATTTCAAGCTTTTTTTTCACCACAAAACTCTAAAAGCACATCTACCCAATTTTTTTTTTTTTAAATCTTCATTTTATGATAATCATAACATTAGATTTTTAAGGAGAATATATATAATATGCAATTTCATTTCAATCTACAAATTTTGTAAAGATAAAAATATCAAATGAAGTATTTGTAATTCTCTATATTTACTTACAATAAAAAGGAAAAGGTATGGTAATTAATCCAGCAAGCTAGTACATTAATTTAGACCCATATTGCAAAAACACCCACTTGAAAGCCAATCAAAAATCCCACTACAAAACCCTAGAATCCAAGGAAACACAGCTCTTTGCTCCCCACCATCCCCTACACAACCTTCTGGTCTTTCTTTTTTTCAAAGTCTCATATCCATACATACAAAAACATTGGTTTATAAATTGTGTGTGTGTATATATATGCCCCACTTCACTATACTTCTATAACTAAAGCACAAATTCTCACCATGTGGGTCTCCCCCAAAGAACCTCCAAAACAACTCTTCATCATATAATTTTATACACACTCCACCAATTTCATTATTATTGATATAAAAAGCTCCCACTACTCTCAATCATTTCAAAACCCATTCCCTCTCACTTAACCCTCCCAATCCTTTTATATATACTTCATCCCATCTCTATATCTTCTCAATTCTCATCATTCAAACACCCTAGAATATTTCGTATTCAACCATGTCCATCACTGGACTCTCTGACTCCGATAGACTCTACAAGAAATCACACCACTGGAGGAATGACTCCGGCGAGCTTGACGTTTTCGAGGCTGCAAGGTATTTCTCTGGGTATAATGAAGGTGGTGCTGGATATAACGCATGTGGATCCTACACGCAGAAGATCATGAGAGAAGAGAGGCAGCCATGGAGACCAGGAGGTGGAAGAATAAGCTTAGACGTGCCCATGAGATCAAATCCAGTCTCGCATCTTCACCAACAGTACTCTCATCATCATCTTCATCACCATTCATCATCTATGGAGAAGCAGATTATGAAGGAGAAGAAGTACAAGCAACCGAGCTCTCCAGGTGGCAGACTGGCTAGTTTCTTGAACTCTCTATTCAATCAAACAGGTTCCAAGAAGAAGAAATCAAAGTCAACGACACAGTCAATGAAAGACGAAGAGGAAAGCCCAGGTGGAAGGAGGAAAAGAAGGAGCAGCATTAGCCATTTTCGAAGCTCCAGCACCACTGATACAAAGTCCATGTATTCTTCGTCTTCGGCGTCAGGGTTTAGAACACCTCCTGCTTACGCACACACGCCGACAAAGAGCTATAAGGATTTGAGAACCTTGTCGTCGGATCACAAGCAAATAATTTCCTTGCCAAAGAACGCAAAATCTACACAAAATGATGAGGCCTCTGCAGATCATGACCAAATTAAAATCAACACAGATTTTTCTTGGTTGGATGAGAAATTAAAGTTAATTGACGCTTATACAGAGAAACAAAAGAATGTGGGTAAGAACCAAGATAGAATGTGGGAGGAGAAGGAGTTTAGAAAGTTGAACGAGATGATGGATGATGGAGGAGAAAGTGACTCGAGCTCTGATCTGTTCGAGCTGCAGAACTACGACTTGGGTATTTATTCAACTGGGTTGCCTGTTTACGAGACGACGCATATGGACACTGCCGTGAAAAGACCAATTTCCAATGCAGCCCTATGAACAGATCGATCCATCACCATGATCAACCTGTACATTTTCTCGTCGTCATCATCATGTGAATCAAAATTTATGGCTTCTTTCTTGTTGTTGTTGTTGTTTTTTTCTTCTTCTTTTTTTTCTGTTAATTTATATGAGGGTTTTAGAAGATTAGACTAATCTTCATATGGCTGCCTTCTTGCTAATTTTCTTTCTTTTCCTCTGTGTATGTACAGTTTCGAATGTTTGTTTGTCTTTTTTTCTTTTTTTACTTGTGTTTCTTTTTCTCCTTTTTTTTTAAAAAATAACGAAAAGAAAAAGCCAACATCAATTGAAGTAACTTTGAAATTTCCATTAGATTGTGCCGTGATTAGAGATTGCCATTAAACTAATTACAGATTAAAAAAGGATTAATTATCACATCATGTGGATAATACAATTCCTCTTTCCTATTTTGACTTTTTGACAAGAAGTAATCATAGATAGTATTATATTTTTAATACTATTTTGAATTACACGTGTGACAGGCATTAAGGCATATATGTATATATATATATATATATTCATTAATTGATTATATCACTCTTACAGGAAAAAAAAAAAAAAAAAAACACATTCAATAAAGTAAGTATATATTGTGCGGGCGTTGGCTACCACGAATCATACGCAATGGCCAATTTTGCAATTTTCTCCATTTTATAATTAACGGGAAACTAGAGAAAATTTGCATTATGATTTATTTGTGTATATCTATACATATATATATATATATGTATCAGATGGTGCCACGTTATTCGTTTTCTTTTTTTTTTTTGGATGCCTTTTTCAATACTACGTCGTTTAATGTCTGTGTACTCAGATTACTATTTCTAACCATCTTATCCTCCTAAATTTTTTGTCTACTTCTTTTTGTGTCCATAGCCAATTTTGTCGTGGCGATAGCAACACCTGTTATATACTATATATTATCATTTCTAACAATAATAAAAACATAAAAGAAAAAAGAAAGCTCCTAACTATTGCTCATATATATATATATATATATATTCTAACATACAATATGGGACATGTAATATATATATATATTAAGAATTGTACGTACAACGAATAATAAAATAATGCCAACAACAATAATACTTAATATAAAAAATACAGTAATATAATGCCTATCCTTGACCCAACCTTCGGGCTACATATGTATGTATATATATATATATAGGTATACACACCAACCAGACAAATCACTAGAAAGAAAAGGAAAAACAAAGAGAAACATGCAAAAGCAAATATATATAGATATATATATAATGGCGTACAATATTCAATAAAATAATTTGAAAGTTGATTAGAAAAACCTTAATTAGAATATATATATAGATATATATGTAAAGAATCGTACGGACAAATTATTAGCTAGCTATGGGGGATGATAATTGTAAACCATTTATGTATGTGTGTGTGTGTGCGTTTATATTTTATATATAAATATAAATATATATATATATGTTTCTACCTAATGTAGAAATGGAAGGCCAAGAACCCAACAGTCACATCGCTAATTATGATAAACATCGATCTCTATAGATTACTCCCAATTAAACCAGCTGTATGAATAAATCAAAATTAAGCTAAAACTATTTAAAAACTTTTGAAGCTAACCTAGGTAGCTATAAGAAAAGGGAAAAGTCTAATGTGCATGGGTTGATGAAAAATAACTTTATTGAGACATGTATATATACATACATATATAGTTTTTAGTCAATAGCTAGGTATTAAATAATATTTTTTACAAATATTATTACAAGGAAAGAATAATATATATATATAATGAACTCTCATCTTTTCTTATTTAAAAAAAAATCAAATAATATATTTAACTAAATAATTAAATCAAGTCTTTCACGTACTAAAATTAATAAATTTGATGATGATGTTGCTTACTCTTAAAAAATCATTAAACTATTTATGAACTATCAATTTAAAACTTAATTAGGTGTCTCTCTTCTTTAATTATCAGAATAAACTGTAATGATCTCATGCTTGAAAAGACTATTGGGTATTTTTCTTTAAGAAAATTGAAATAATTAAACAAAGGATTAAAGCTCAAAAAAGGATGAGAGATAGATTTGATGATGAATCCTATGGATAGCCTTTAGAAAGAATTAATGATGCAAGGAGCACCAATGGAAGAAGCATAAATGATGGGCATAAATGATGCATGGGGCACCAAAAAGGTATAGTGGGTGGAGGGGCCAAACATGTTTGTGATGATTCAAAAGTGAATGTTTGATTGCACATTTTCATATAAATTTGCAAGAGATGTGGATGTTGTGAGCTTTCTTGCCCTCCATTATTTATTAAATCTCAGATTATGCTTGTTTTAGTTAACTAGTCTTTATCCACTTTATCATTTTAGACGTTATATGCTTCTTCTTTTTTTTCATTCAATTGTATATACTTACAGTATTTACATATATACACATATATATAAGAACCACAATTTAATATGAATACATGTAACATTAGTGCCAACTAGTGACAAGCCAATCCAATTCAAACACAAAATAATATAGTTGTACGTAAGCAATAAGACTATATGTAAGCACGAGACAAACATAGTCCAAAACACTAAATAATTCTAGACTGAGTGGAATACACAATTGGTTAAAAATCTGGACTTGGGACCAAGGAAACTATCCATATCTCAAAGGCATTGGGTCCTAAAGGAAGTAAAACACGTAAGCAGTTTATAGTTTATTACAAGGAGAGTTGTAGGCTATAACCTGATTTACATGCAAACTTTGAAATTAAAAGAATATATAATTAAGTTGGTATAACTAAAATAAAAAATTATTTACAAATGTAATTATCTATAGGCACCATCAATATTTTAATTACGTCTGTTACAAAACTTATGAAACTGTCATTGTGGTAACAATTTAGTAAAAAAATCTTAATTATTTAATGATGAGAAAATAAGGTGTTATTAGTTAAATATTTTTAGAGGTCTATGTAGAGGAAGACTTACTTTGGATAAAAAAAAATCAGGGACGAACAATTATCAAGACTTAATAATGATCCATACTTAATTGGTACCTAAACATACTTCATATTTTTTTAAGGAAATCGTAAAGGTTGGAGCTCAATCATCAGGTTATTATAGGGATAGCTTGGAGGCTTCATAATTGCAATGGGATCTCAACATAAGTTGATGATTTGGAAGGATGTTTGGGTGGATGAACTGCCTCTTATGACAATATTTTTTAGGTTGTTTATATTAGCGAAGGATAAGGACATGTTTATAGAAGATATTATCTCGTGATAAGGAGCTAAATTGGTCTTAGAATTTGACTTTAAAGAGAGAGCTCTTTGATAAAGAGATAAAATAATGATAAGAATTTATGGAGACCATATATGGAGTGATTCTATATTGCCATAAACTAGAGAGACTAATTTGAAGAGAAAATAATAAGAGAATCTAGACATTAGATCTTTTCAGGTAGGTTAGTAGGGAGTCCCATTGCCAAAATCACTTCTAGTAGAGAATCTAACCTAAGATGAATATGTTTATATAGTAACTGCTAAAGCAGAGGTTGGATATGATGGAGGTACTGCACCATAGGAATTGTAGATTAGAGATATTAAATCTAGCCTTTTTTATTGTCAACAACCTGAGACTATAGAGCATTTATTCATCATATACAAACAAATGTAGTTGATACAGTGTCATGGTGGGATATCTCTTCAATTTCTCCCATGAACATCCTTACTTTGTTCTCTATGTAGAGAAGTTTATGTCAAAAAGACGATCACGGAATGTGTTAAGGATACTCTTTTATGTTATAATTCATAAGGTCAACTAGGAATGAAAGATTTTTATAAGTTAGATGAAGATAACTTTGAGGAGAGGCTTAGTTTGTAATCCTTATATATTCATCAACAATTATTAGAAATATTAGTTTTACCCTTTAATGGTGTTTACATCTTTCCACATATGCTGGTGTGAATAAGCTCAAGATGTGCACGTGTTTGCCAATATTCTCTATATGGAAAAGATATTCAATGTTTTTGCCAAAAATACATCCTTTATAAATGCTCGAATTCATATTAATGAATGGAAGGCCTTGAACTATATTTTTTAACTTTTAGCAGCTTTAAGATTTTATAGTTGAGATGGTCAAACCTTTTATGCCACAAGTCTGAGCAAGCTGCCACAAGTCTTCGCTATGTGAGTTCTGAAGCATACCTTATTTGCGCAACGAAAAATTTTTGGACCTCTCCACATAAACTTTGGCTAGAAAATGATTTTTAGTTCTCCGATTGAAAATTTTACAACCTTTATTTTCAAAATGAACTTCATATCCATTTTGTAGAATTTTTCCAATACTTAACAAATTCTGCTTCAAATTTGGAATTAATAGTACATCTTGAATAACTTTATGCCCCATCTCAGTTTCCAAAATAGTACTATTTTTGTCTTTAGCTTGAACCAGATTATCGTTTTTCATGTATACCTTAGTCTTGTACAATGCATCTATGTCCCGAAATAATTTTTAATTACCAATAATGTGGTTAGTGCAGCCACTATCCAAGTACCAATTATCATCTTTCTCTTCTATTACAGCATGGCATGTATAGAAAATATTTTCTTGACTATGCTTTTCTTTTACGAAATTTACTTAGTCACAAACTTGAGCTCTGCAGTGCTTCGCGATACGGTCATACATTTTACTCTTGCTGTAACTCTCTTTGTCCAATATCTCAATGTACTATGATTTCATTTCTTGCAAATGTCATACGACATATTTGAATTACTTGAACCTGATTCTTTTTGAATTTGATCTTGCTGCTTTTGCACATTTTGTCTACCTTTTATCTCATAATTCCTTTAATTTTTTTGACGCTTTTGAGTTCTGAAACTTTTGTTAAAAGCAATTTCAACTAACTTACTCTTGGCCTGTAATTTTCTGCACCTCATGCAACTTTAAGGAAATCATCAATTCTTGAATTATAAGTGTGAACAAATCTTTCCATTCTTCAATAATTGCAACAATATACTCATATATTTTAGGAAAATTATTTAAAATTTTCTCAACTACCATTTGATTGAAGATATCTTCACAATAATTTAACATCTGGTTCACGATCTCGATCACCTTTAAGAAATACTCTTTTATTTTTTCCAACTCTTTCTTTTGCAAATTTTAAAATTGTCTTTATAAGTTATGCAACTTAATAAAAATTAACTTCGCATATCTCTGAAATTCCTCTTGCAATATATCTCATACTTCTTTTAATTTTATTGCACCAATTATTTGAGAAAACAAACTCTCTACAACTTTTTCGTGGATAAGAAAATGAGTTTTGACATTGTCCATCTAATATTTTGCCAACTTCTTCATTTCTTCGGTGTTAGTTGTTGCCCAACAATAAATTAAGGATTACTATTCTCAATTATATCACAAAATTCTTATAATAATAGTAATATTTATATTTTAATATTTCACATATCATAATTTTCTCTCGAAAGTACAAGAACCATCAACTCTGATATACTTGCGCTAACAGCAAAAATCATCAATTCAAGATGCTTCTTCAAACTTTACGAATATAAATTCACTACTGCACTAACACTCGTGCTCAAACTAAGTTTTTATGTCAGTTGTTATGATTAAACTAAAAACTACAAATTATTGATAAGGTTGAAATGTAAATTATCTAATTTGAGAGACATCATAAGGCTAAAAACACATCAATTCTTCAATTTTAAAAAACAGGGATAGAGAACATAGAGACAGGGGGATGCTTATAAATAGCTGTGTGTGTGTATATATTTGTGCGCGTGTGGGTGACCAACTTAGGAGAAAGAAAAAAAAAATGCCGCCGCTTTACTTTCTTCACCACCACTTTCTCCCTACTTCTTCTTTCTTTACCGCCATTCTCAAGTCTTCTTCTCATCTTCCTCAACCATCATTCTCTCTCTCTCTCTCTCTCTCTCTCTCTCTCTCTCTCTCTCTCTCTCTCTCTCTCCTTGTGGTCCTCTGTTTTCGGCTTCATCGTCTTCTTCTTCTTTTCTAAATTCTTTTTTTCACCACCATAAAAAAAATGAATTAATTATTCTAACATGACATTCCCAAGTTCCAATTCTAAAGTGTATAAAAGAAGAATCATGCAAGACTTAAATTAGATAAACATGCAATTGCAACAGGAAAAAATATCATACCCGTAAACCATTAATCTATATATAAAATTCAAAATGCAATAGGTATTCACATGGCATTAAGAGATGCCGCTAACATGCTATAATTATACCCTTAGTGTAAATTCAACTTAAAGAAGAATGCTGTTGGGATGCATGACATGTTTGCTTTTTCCACAAATACTCACTTCAATGTTAAGTGAACACCTCATAATGTAAGCCAAGAGCCCAAACAGCATCCTACCTCATTGGGTTTCTCCTTCTCGGGTTTTCGTCCTCAGTCCACTATCTCTCTTCTCTTCATTCTCAGCTCCTTCTCCCCCCCCCAAGCAGCTTCGGGCTCAACCTTTTACAGGCGGAGGGAGGTAATTTTGGACCAATGTTACGCGCTAGAAATCTCCAAAATCACGAGATTTCTTCAGCCAACAAAGCGTGCATGACTCTATCTTATCTTCTCTCTTGTCCCCCATTTTTCGTTGCCCCAATCAGCCTTCATCCTCACCTTCTCTGATTTTTGCTTAAACGAAACAATGTTGTTTGGATTAATAATTCAAAACGACTACGTTTTAGGCCTGCCTATTTTCTGATGACCTAGCTTGATTGGCGCCATTTTGGACGCCGGAGGTGCTGGGCTTGAGGTGCGTGGTGCTGCACCATGGGCTTTATTTCGTCTGGGTCGCTGTTTCAACCTTTCTTTTTCTTTCTTCTCGTCTTTTTATTCTTTCAGTTTCTCCTCCCTTGCTGGGCTGGGCTTGGTCAGGCTTCTGCCCCTTTTCTTTCTTTTTCATTGGGCTTGACTTGGGCTTCATCTCCATCTCCTTGTCCTTTTCTTCCATTTTTCTTTCTCTCTTTCTTTCTTTTTTTTTTTCCTTCTTATTTTCATAAAGACAAAATGAAACATAATAATAATAAAAATAACTATATAATAATAACAAATAAAAATGAGGATGATATAATAATAATAATAATAATAATAACAACAAAAACAATAATAATAATAATTTTGTAAACCATGGATAATTTGAATCTTCCAATTATTGTTATTATTATTATTATTAATCTAATTATTATTTTATTATAATTTTATTATCAATTTATTATATTACTATTATTATTTTATCACCGGATAAAATTAAAGTATGACAGATATGTACAAATTTAAAAATATTAACCTACTTAAAAATATAATTTATACTAAAAATATGAAAAATAAATAAATAAAAAGAAACTATAAATGATTTATAAATTTAAATGGATATAATATTTTATTCTTTTAGTAAAACACATAAATTTTAGTAATTAAGTAGTACATATACATTAATAATAATATAATTTCTTAACAAAATGATATAAAAATATCATATTTATAATATACAATCTTTTATAGAAAGAAGAACATACCATACCAACTATCTAATAAATGAATTATTCGTACAATATTTTAACTTTAAATTAATTTAATATCTATTTAAATTATATATTTTGTGATGCAACTATTGATAATTAAAAATATAAATATATCAATTGCTAATTGATTATATCAACAAAACTTATTTATATTAAATATATATTCATGACTAGTTTCTAAATTTTAAATGATTAAAATCTATAAATTAAATTAATTTGAACTAAAAATAATTAGTCAATTTGGTGGTAACAACGGTATTAGAGTCGTTCAAATCTCGACTATCATGATTTCTTATTCTACATCTTCTTTGATGTTGCTTTTAATTTATCTTTTTATTCTTTTGTTTTGTTACAAGAAAGTAGAAGAAATAAGACAATATTATAAAAGTTGATTAAATAAATATGAGCATTGTAACAATAAGCAAGACAAAGAAGGTGCCTAAGATTAAGAGTTCGAGAAAATATAACGAGCCATTTAGGGATTTGGTGGACTAAAGAGCTAATTAATTGATACGTACTTTGATTTTGTCTTTTCTATGAATATGATATACTTAATGTTTCAATCTTGGTCTAAGCAATCTATAATCTTTGACTCTATCACTGGTGAGTTCTTCATATCAATTATATTCTCAAGTTGATGTCGAATGTGCTAGGAATTCACCTTAATAATCAAGTTCTTGAACTCAGAATCCCAAACTAATTATAGTCTATTATTGGTCCCATAAAAGTTAACAGTCACAAGGTTACCATTACCAAGGTTGCGTATATATCTCATAATATAATTACTCTAATTGTCTTTGATTAGACCATCAGTGGTTGCCTCCTACTAATTTATTCACAAACATAATCTTTAAGTATGTTAGTGCCTTATTCATTCTGGTTGATTTTCTTCGTTGTGGTTTGTTATTGACGACTTCTTCATTATTGCTCAATTCTTCTAATATGCTAATTTCATCTAACTAATTTTATTTTTTATTATGTATACTCAAATCTCTGCACTGATTAACACAATCTTCAGCTTGATCTCGTATAAGGCAAGTGGTTTACGGGATGATAATCATGTTATCTCCCAATACTTGATCAATTTGGAACTCCCTTCTCGGCTCTCTATTATTGTAATAAAAAATTATTTCATAAAACAGATACGATAATTTTGTTCGTATCATAAAAAGATGTACTTTCAATTTATGGGGTCAAGTTTGTACATGTTCCTATTAATAGAGATGTAAAAGTCAAACATCCGAAACCCTTTAAAAAATAAGCAAGAAATATAAAAAAAAGACATCGAGATTGAAGAACTTTAGAATGAAGATGGCCTCTTGGAGAGAAAATCCTATAAGGGTTTTGTGTTTTATCATTCACTCAAACATTATGAGATTTAACGAGGAATTTATCGCTCGGGTAAGTTCGGTGTATCTACAAACACACACACCATTTTTCCTTTAAATCCTAGGCTGATGGTCTGCACCTTTTATTCTCCTCTTCAGTCATGGGCTTGGGAAATCAGTCCTCCGTAGAGGCCCATCATATATTGATAACATTTATAAAATTTGAAAAAAAAAATGATTTAATTAAATATTTTGATTACTCAATTAATAATATTCTGATTGATTCAGTTCTAGTTCGTTTATCTTCGATCGGATTGGTTGATTAAGAGTCTTTGAATGCAAGTCCTATTTTTTAGTGTGCTTTTTTAGTTGCACCCTAGGTGGGAAATTTATTGCTTCATTTCATTTCTTAGGTACTATTTGCGGCTGCTCCGATTATTGTGATTTGGATATTTTTGAGCTAGGTTTTGTTAGAGAGGACTTTTCTTATTTCTTTTCATGCGTGAATTGTCCAATTGTGGTGGGGTTTTGAATCTAGGTATTCTGGAATTACGAAAACAAGTTCTGTTATTGACGTGAATGTGTAATGGGTTCTGTGGGTTTTTGATCTTAACCTTTTACGCTGTTGTTTTTGTTTGTCTCTGAACCATATACTGTTCCATCTCGGTATCAGAATCTCAACTCCCACATCCTGAATTGCCATTGCTGGAGTAACGACAGCTACAAGGTACCTCCTCCTCCTCTCTATTTTCTTTCCCGTGCGTTTTACTGTTTCCGTTTCTCTAACTTCTCTTCTTTGTTTCCTAGAGGGAGTCTGCATCAATGGCTTTTAGGCGTAGCCTTTCGAATATGTCTTCTTCTCTTCTTACTAGAAGATATCAGCCTTGTTTAAGCTATCTTCTCCATGATCGTGATACCAAAGAGGAACCTATCGGCCTCCATGATGTTGGTCGGCGGAGCTACTCTATTAGCAGCTTCAACAGTTCGATTCCCTTATACGAAATCAGGTCTTTTCACTTCTCTCGGTGGCCTGCCTTTGCCCCATCATCTTCTTGCCGCTTTATGTCAACTTCCATCGGTGAAGGATCGAGCGAGATTAATGCCTTAGGGGACGTTGCGCAAGTTCTCTCAGATACCACCCTGCAAACTGCGGCTTCACATAGTGCTCCCGTAAACGAGGTAGCAGTTGCGGCTGCTGATTCTTTCTTCCCTGTTGCAGCCCTGCAACATGTCATTGATAGTGTACACTCTTTTACCGGCTTTAACTGGTGAGCAAGTGTCTAACCATTCTTCTTCTACTAGTGGCAATGACAATGAAAAACTAGGAATTTTTGCATTGCTGGACTTGTCATCTCATACGTTGTTCTAAAAGTTAATTTTGAACCAACAATATATCTGGACACGAGAAAGGAATTGGTCACTTTTGCTCAAAGAAATTGGGAAGAACCATTTTAAGTACATTGCAATTGCAACACATTGGGTTTGTGGGAAGCAATGGTTAAATTTCATATATTATTACAAATATGTACATGTGATGTCCGAGACTTAATGTCTGAACCCCAAAGTTTCTACTTTTGCTGATTAACATATAATTTACATTTCACAGTTCATTCTGCCGTATGTCATTTATCAGCAGAAGTTTCAGATCTTCTTTATGATTTGTTTCAGGTGGGCTTCCATAATTGTAACTACTCTTCTGATTCGAGGAATAACAGTTCCCCTCTTAATAAATCAACTGAAAGCAACTTCAAAATTGACTGTATGTTGCCTGGTCTCATGTTTGATTCTTTTATGCATATTCATCCCCTTTTTCTACAGTCTGTTGCATAGTAGAAAGAGGATAATACCTGAACTCACTTCTCATCGTGTATTAAGTGTTAGGGGATACATTTTCAGTTCATTCTTCTTGTTTGTAGTTATTGAGGCCACATTTGGAAAAAATCAAGCAGCAGGTGCAAGATAAGGTATGATACTATATCCCCTGCTTTTAGGCCAATGTCTTTAGTTTTCTTGGAAGTTTCTGTTTTTTTCTTAATGTCATCACTTTAACCGTGTAATAATCCTTTGTTCCTTTTAGTTGTCACCTTAGTGCATATTGGTAATTCAGGTTTTCCTAAAACGCTTCGAAGAAAAAAAATCTTGATTTAAATACTGCTACTTAGCCGAGCCCTAACATGTTTTTGATGTTAATATTCGAGCCTAGTGAGAGAGTTTTTTGCCAATGCTAGTCATGGTCTCGATGTTCAGTTTTGGCTGGTTTCTTCATCCATGTCATTTCCCCTCACCGAGAAAATTCTTGGTCATTGAAAGATGTTTCAATGTGGTTTTGGACTAGAAAATTCATGAGATCCATACAATCTGGAAGAATGGAGTTCAAAGCAAATTCTCCATCTTTTGTTTAACTTGTGGATGAGGTGGTTCTTCAAATTGTTACGTATGTTCTTTTGGGTTATAGAGAATGGTACGTGGGTCAAGGTTCATAAACCTCTCTTCACTGGGATCAAGAGAGGAAGCGTCAAGGAATTGAAGGAGAAAAATGAGAGAGGTGAGGGGCTTTTGCTAGTCCCAGAAGGTGCAAAAGCTAACGGCTGGTGTTGGATACTTTTGATAATGGTGCAAGCTTGTGGTTTGATGCTAATTAAGGGGAAGGTGGTCAAAGTTGACCCTTGCTGGTTGGAGGTTGAGCTGAGAGGCCTTTA